AAGGTGGGGCAACTTCAGCAAATGCCATGCCTAGAAATTATATTTACAAAACATAAACTTGGGGTAACGCCAATGATAAGCGGGCAACCATTTCTGACCGTGTCCCGGGCAGCAGGCAGGTGATTGGCTGCCGTGGGGATTCAGAGATGGAAGAGCTGGGTCCTTCCTACAAAACCAGACCGAGCCCCATTGGCACCAGCATTTGAGGCATGCGAAGTCATGCACCTCCAGGGTCTTTGGGGCCTGCTTCCGTGGGCAAACGACGTCATGATGATAGGGCCTGACACCCCCGCCCCCATCTGTGCAGCCTGTGGTCGCTGGAAAGCTCACTGGCCTGAGAGACAGACCCTGTCCTATCCTCATCAGGCCTGGGAGTGGGGCTTTCTGGTCCACTTCCTCATGTTGGGGTAGTTTCTTCATCTTGTTCCTGAAAGGGGGTGATTCTGACATGCCTCCCATCAGAACAACCCTGCCCTGCTCCCAGGTGCAGACTGGAGTGGCCCGCACCAGGGATGTATTGGGGCACAGCTGGAATCACTTCTGATGAGCCCAGGAGGCTGTCTTACCTCTTCCCTCACCCCAGAGTCCAGCCTCAACTCAGAGACCTAATAAATCTACAGAACATCAAATCAAACCTAATCTAAACCAAAACCCACGAACCCCAGACCCAGCCGACCTGCCGGCTGGAGTGTGGGTGGCTCTGTGGGCCCCTCACAGACCCTGCAGCTGGTGTTTGGGTGGGTCATGTGACCACAAGCCTCGCAGGAGACATACCTGGGAGGTTCCTGCTGTGTCCCAGCTCACCCTCAATGTGCTGTCCCTGGCAGCTGGCTCATCGCCATCCTGGCCCAGCTGAACCCTCTGTTTGGGCCACAGCTGAAGAATGAGACCATCTGGTATGTGCGCTTCCTGTGGGAGTGACCGCTGCTGCTTCAGCCCAGGTACTGGGGCTCGGGCAGTGGGTAGGGGGCACCTGGTGTGGAGGAAGAGAACAGGCAGGACCGTTTTAAGCGTTTACGTTTGGATTCAGATGTTCATTTATCAGACAAAAAAAAGGTGGTGAGCACCTACTATCCGCCTGCCTGGCACTGTGCTGGGCACCAGATGGAGGGCAAACACGGTCCTCGAGGTGCTTCCTCAGAGGGCATGGCCGGGGATACAGAGCCTGTGCTGAGAGAGGACGGCCTGGGGCTCAGGAGCGTTGAGGCAGCAACTGGACAGAGGAAGTTGAGATAAGCTGAGTGACTGGGGCAGAGGCAGGGAGGGGGTGGTAAAGAGGGGGTCTCCACAGCGAGGAGGTGACCCTCTCATGCGATGTGCTTTTCAGGTACCCCAGCTCTCCGGATAACCTTGGCTCAACTGTCCCTGAAGACCCCTTTGTTCCACCCCCACAGCTGTGTCGTGATCCCTCTGTGTTGAAGTAATGGAAAATCATTCACACCCAAAACACCATAGTAATTTGGGTCCAGATTGAAACTTGTATGTTTAGCATTCTTTATAGTTGTAAAGTCACTTAAAGTGGCCTGCTC